CGGAAACCCCGAGCACACCTAAGGGATTAGGCCGAGGCCGATATTTAGAGAGCGGGGCCTAGCCTGAAGCGCCGACCTACGAGGCTGCGATCCAGCACGGTAAAGGCAAACAAATACGTGGCATAAAAACAAAAACAAAGAAAAAGTGAATGTACATAAGTTCATGTTCTAAAAAGGAAATCTCAGCTCGTAATCTTCATCACAGCAGACGAAGAAGAATAAACGATGAAACCAACCGACATCACAAAGCCTAACTTTAACCGCTGCAGATCTGATTCACTGAAGTCCACTAAATGAGATAATCGGAAAACTCCGTAGCTGTGCCCACAAGTGAGTCCAAAACATACGAGAGTACTAAATGATGTAGAGAGAGCCACAGACCACCTTGGGATGCCTAGTCCAACGCACGCACTTCCACACAGTACACATATAACCCACCACTCAGCAGGAGAAAAACCCCAGATATTCACGTAAACACACACTTAAAAATGCCAATTGAAACCTGTACAATATATAGTTTTGGTGACAGAACTTTATCACTTCGGAACAAACATTTTTGGTTTCCCAGCAAATAACGTGAGTAAGATTAGAAACAAAGAGCAATAAAAAAAAAGCAATTTATTCACCGGGGAAATCTCCAAGACTACTCCTCTCTTCCCCCCAATCTCTCATAAATCAATATAAATAAACCCTGTGCGTCTAAACCCCCAGCGCGAATCTTTATTATTTTATCCCTCACCTTAGAGCCGACTTATTCTTGTGTGTTGTGTGGCTCCTGTGCCTGTCGTACGATGCATCGGTCACTGAGTTACACCAAGAGATAACCACAAGTGAATCTATATCCAACTGTAACGCAAAACATTCTCCCTGTTTTATCTTACCTAAATTCAGATCAGCACTGGTCCAGCGCCCCCTTCCGCACTCGCGAGTAGAGTTCTAAGCCACTCTAAGGCGTGAATTTTAGAACAAACCACCTGTAAATATCCTGTGTGTATATTACTTAAGGTATACAACATATAACTTCAATCTTGTACAAAATTGCCCTATAAAGTAGCACACGGAATCCGATAACATATCTCAAGTAACAAACAAAGTAATCACATCAAAAATTTGAATTATTATAATAAAGTGCTACCTCATTAATCATCACATGAGTATAAATACACACACCGCCTATAATACTCCCAACTACCAAAACACACATACCCCCACATACAAATATTTAAAAGAGAAAATAATGTAACTTATAGTCCACTACATTGATTTAACAGCTTTAGTATATACTAGTTATCTTCCCAGATTAAGATATTAATATAAATATGAAAAGCAACCACGTGATAATCTCAAGATAATTATTAGCTTTCAGGCTTGAGATGATATAGCATATAATAAATTTAGGTCCAGCATAGGCTATATAGTCAAATAATTTGTTGATAACACTTAAAACCTCCACCACCACAGAATCTATTCAGACATGCTCGTTCAATTATACTGGTGGATCACTGACCCACGCCGACTGTACTGCGTTAGTCATGTGTGCATGCCGGCTTATTGGGGTAGTCGAAACATGTGTGCCTTAGCGAGGCATCGGAGGAGGAATCACCCATCAATAACAAATGAAACTAGAACTCCACACACTGACGCAACTCACAGGAACACACAATTCACATCTGAGAAACCCTTATTGTTTGTTATAAGCACACGACTTTTGCTGTCAAGCCAAACAGTGCTGACAGTTCTCATAAAATATACTTATGTTCTCGAGACACGAGCAAATACACCCCTATACCCAAACCACAACTGTAAACTCTCTCTTAATTATCGAAATAAAATTAACTATGAAACAATATATTTTCCCCCGATACACAAAGATAAAAAACAAAAAACTTAAAAATCCCTGCCAAAAGTTAGCACGTCAATAAGATCAATAATCCAGATCAGACACCGTATACTATAATATGAAAAAAAACAAAAATCCAACTATCAATGGATCCGTATCATTTGTTAACCATCGAACCCCCCCAACCAAAATTATTCACACACACACTCATTAAATATATAAAAAAGACCCTACAACTGAACCCTCCGTTCGTAAAAAGGCCCTGATTAATCTCAAATGTTAAAATAACCCAGCACCACTAGAATATATATCAGTCTAACCCCACTAAAACACCGATCCAAAATCAAACACTGAAACTGACCAAAACAAAATCTTCAAATGAGGTAAACCTCCAAGTTAAGCACCACCTTTTCAAAATAATGTAACTTATCAATCATTTAATCCAGGTTAAATCGTAAATATGTGTTGCCAAAGTAAGATCACAAAACACAACCAAACACCAAAACATACAACCAATCCAATATTAACATCGCAAACAGACTTACTTGAGCAATACTTAAAGCGCCATAAATACGCGAGGAAAACAGCCCAGCTAAAGGAACCAGAGAAACAGGACACGAGCGAGACAAAAAAACACAAACTAATAACTCAAACTGATCACTCTAAAACTTGATTACGTTGGAGAGCAAAAAATAAAACAGATCTAGCACAGAACCTAGCAATAAAGGAAATAGACGGATTATCAGTTCAATACATAACACTGTTCCACGCCCAACCATAGTATCAGGCCTTTGTAGGCACTGTGGAATCAACAAACATCACGCAACGCGGATAAGAAACGACATTTACGGGTCACGCCAGCACCAAAAAACTAACAGTCAGGAATGAACCCATGAGAGAAGCACATGGAACTAATATAACAATAAAGCAACAGGCTTCCCACAAAAAACAAAAACAAAAAGTAGATCACAAGACGCCTTACGGCGAAAATAAAACACACATAATAATTTGGGAGTCGCGAGGGCGCGAGAGAGAGAGCCAAAGTATAACGAAAAAGCAAAATCCCATTGTATCATAATATTAAAAAGATCATACCGCAACTGATACAGACAAACCAAAAAACAAACAACACGAGTCAAAATAAACATCAACCCGCATCAGATTCTCTCGTCCCAACACAGAGCTATTACACCCATCACAATCAATCAACGTAGGATACCCTTCATACAAGCAAAGAATGTCACACAATAAAAACCAAAACGATTAAATTACAATCCCTATAAAATAAAGAAAGGGAAAAAAATAACAAATAAAATAAGAAAACAATATTACGCAGAATAGAAGTCGTTAATATTGCGAGAAACAAAGTAAGTAATTTTATAAACTGTCAGCCTGTTGGCGTCAGCCAGCAAAACTTTGTTGTAACAAACAATATGATGATCAATAAAATTTTTTTCCTGATATTGATCTGGCTCAGTGGTGGAGTTCTAGTTTATTGTAGTGGGTTGATTCCGTCTCCCAGCCTCGTTACACACACACGTCCCGGACCGGACACCCCCAGTAAAGCACGCACCACAGCTCACGTAACGGCATACCAGCGGCTAACAATTGCATCCACACGATATTTGAAAGTCATTCATGAAAGACTGGGTATGTATTTACAACAACAATTTAGCATATACCAACACAAATTTATTAATAAGCCGACGAACAACAAGCAATAACTGAATCACGTTTTCTATATAAAATCTGAATCTGCAGAGGCGGCACGTAACGCGTAGTAACTAAATGCTGGTTAATATTCTATGATACGTGGACTAATAAGACAATATTTTCTCTTTAAAAGAGGTAGTGGAGGCGGTATTTGTAGTATGGAGTTAATACTTGATTGATTGTCATTGAAGAATGACATCTGTACTAAAATTAACAATGGTTGAGATAGCTTGTTTACTTTGAGTATTTACATTCTATGCTACTTTATAGCATAAATTGCTAAATGACTCACCAGTAAAACAACAAGTAAAATTAAAGTGTTTTTATAATTCCCTAAGCTTGACATCCTCATGTCCACAAGGCTGGACAGTTCTCCATCTAAAAGATACATCGGGAGTATAGACATAGTGGGATTAGACAAGCCACTGTATTTTGTTGACCTACTGACCCCGCAACCACGCACGGCCACACACACACACACACACAACAATAAATAACGCGCCAAGGGAGAGGGGAAACAAAAAGCAGCGGATAGAAGCGACAAGGTGAATTTTGCAACTTGGACGGGTGGCGCAAAGAGGAGACGTCATTTCCCCTGCAAAATGTATTTTATCTGCAGTTGATTTACCCGGTATTTGCGAAACAAAAACACCGAAGTTAAAGTTCTGTCGACAAACATAATTGTTACGGATCTTTCGCGCACTTTCTAAGTGGTCTACGGAAATCCTGGACGCTTCTTATGCGGTTATAACCCGGGCCCGCGGTATACCCTGCGCATCAACGTGGTACTACACCACTGTCTGGCCCTAATACTCCGCCGTATGTTTGGGACTCACAAGGCCTAAACATGACTTCAGTACACATCATGCAGGGAAAAGTTGGCTTTGAGGCCGGGAACTAATAACCTCTCCTGCTGTAAAATAACGACTGAATTCCTTTAGAACAGAACAGATACCATTCAATTTCTTTGTTTCGCATATCGCCATGCGGCAGCCTCGATATCCGGCCATCGCAGCCCCGCTCTCTAAAATATGGCCTCGCCATTAAACCCCCGAATCGGTCGACCAGTACCGTGATTCACCTTATCTAACCGTCCTCCTAGCAACAGACAACGCTAACCGCACGTTAAGCTACAACCGCGAAACTGCGGCCGAGTTACATAACAAAAACACCACCTAATCACCACTGCAATTGACCCTCCCCGATAAACCGGGACTGTCCCCTCTCTCTCTCTCATCTCTTTACACGACCCTCTCCACCATTACCGGTGAAACCTGCTGTCAATCACCATCCTCCGACACGTCACGGTCCCCACGCCCTCCTCCACCCGGCGCTGAAGCGTTCGCTCGTCCCCTCGCAGGAGTAACCACCGGGCGGTAAAGGACACAAAAACGGCGGTGTTTTAAAAACGTGCTGCCGGTTACCTCGTCGCCGACGGTTGTAATGTTCCTCTGACTCTCGCATTTTCTGTGCGTCCGCAGTTTGCCCGGCAGCAGTGATGGGTGCTAACGTTAACGGCTACAAATCCTGAAGGAGGAGCGTAAGCGGTGAAACAGAGGCCGCCATGTGTTGTGTGTGTGGTTGTGTGTTTGTGTGTGTGGTGTGTCTAGGAGCGTGCGTGTGTGTGTGTGTGTGTTTGTGTTTGTGGTGTGTCGTAGGAAGCGTGCGGTGTGTGTGTGCGTGAGGAGGGAGGGAGGGAGGGAGGCAGTGTGTAACAATACAGCTGATGAATGATAGCTGTACTGTATGCTGCACACATACTGAGCATACCCTGTGCTCATGTGGCAGAAGGAAACATCGTGCCGTAAGCTTGATTGTGTATTATTGATGTGTGTCTTCTAATTAAATTTAATAAATTCATTAGAAAGAAGAGAAATGACATTAAAAAGGAATATTTGAACTGCTTGGTTAACCTGTTGTTTTACTCTGTTCAGGTGAGTGGGCTCTTTTTTTTTTTTCTTTTTTTTTTTTTTGGTGTGGAAAACTAAGAAGAATTTTGTGGATTAAGGTAAGATAAACTTTATTGACCCCTCTAGGGAAAACTCACTTGCTGGCAGTAGCTCCAGATACAAACACAACAGATAAAGAAAATACACATAAATAAAAAAAAAACACAAGATATTAATAAAAGAGTTGTATGTACACTAGCTATATACAGCTATATATATATATTAATATATATATTATAGGTATATATATATATATATCTTTTATACAGATGTGATTGATGGATATATGATATGTATATCGCACAGGTTACACAGCAGAGAGGGTAGTGCATGGTGTAAAAAATAAATATTTTGCACCAGAAATGATACTATTGAGAGGACAGAGGTTAGAGTTAGTGTCAATATATATAAAAAGACCCAGAAAATTAAAATAAATAAGAAAAGAAAACCTTTATTTGTCCCACAATGGGGAAATTGGCAGTTTGCAACGCATACAGAAAGGACAGAATAAAAAGAAACAAGAGCACAAAGAGTAGCTTATAAAGATAAATAATGAAATAGAAATAGTTATGCACAGACTGGTGTCAAAACTGGTGTTTTGAAGTTTTTTTTGTATATATCCAAGTTAAAGAGTGTTCGTTGTGGAGCCTAACAGTAGCAGGAAGCGAAAGACCTTCTGTATCTTCACACATCGAGGGTGAAGCAGTCTGTCACTGAAGCTGCTCCTCAGTTCTGTCCAGATCACCGTTCAGGGGGTGGGACTCATTGTCCAGCGTGGATGACCTTTAAGCCAGGACTCTCTGTCACCCACCTCCCCCACTGATCGCCAAAGGGCAGCCCAGGACAGAGCTTGGACTTCCTGATGATCTTATCCAGCCTCTTCCTCTCCCTCTCTGTGATGCCACTGTTCCAGCAGACCACTCCGTAAGGAATGGTTTGATATTTTTTGAGAATGAGCTTATTTGCTTTCTTGCTGAGAGATTAGAGGAGGGGGCCTACCACTCTTATGTCTGTGACGTAAAGCGGCAGCTCCTTCCAGCAGATGGTTAGCTTAGCTTAGCGTAAGCACTGAAAACACAGGAAAACGGCTAACCTGGCTCCGTCCAAAGATAACAAAATCCCCTGACAGCATCTCTAAAGCTCACTAATTAAGCTCAGGAAGTCCCCAGGCCTAGCCAAATAATAGTCTAGCAAATAAAACCACAAATTGCAATTTGTACACTGGTTTACGCATGTACATTCTGTATGTATATAATTAACTTTAACGATACATATAATCACATTTAATACAATTCTATGGTTTGAATTGGAGGATTTGTTGTATACATTATATCCACTGCAGCGTATTTGAAGTGCTATTTAGACTATAAAATCTTTCTTATTTGAGTTTCCACTTCAGCGAAAATCAAAGTTAGTAGCCATACAAATATTACAGTAGTTGAATGAAAAGCAGTGAGTGTCACAGCATTTTTTTAGTTTGCCACAAGATGGCAGCAAATATTTGGTGCATTAACTGAATTTGTAATAGAAAAATAAGCATCAGATTTCCACTCAGGAATATAATGTACAAATCATGTAAAGAGTGAAGGAATAAGAACCAGGATTATGGCCCAAAGCTTAGTTTAACCAGACCGATTAAGAAGGGGCAGGGTAAACAATATGGGGACAGTGAAGCATGTCTCCCATAAATTACATAAGAGAAAGGTACTTGTTGGGTGTATGGGTGTGAGCACAAATCACATGGCTTTTACACTAGAGACTGGAATTCATATCCTGTCTCGTGCTTCAAGTTAGTGTTTACTTTTCAGCATTTTATCAGGACTACAATCTGTTCCCTATCCTGAAAAGTTTAGTTATCTAAGCATAAACATAAAAACCAGAAATGTGGATATTCTTGTCCGTGTTTAATATTTTCAGTGTGAATGTTTTGTCATTATATTGATTCATATGTGAAAAAAGAAAGTGAATATTGGACTCACATTTATCAGGAGGCCAAGAACACAACTGCAAATGAATGCTAATGTGGCTCTGTGCACATACGGTGATAACATGTCAGTACTGTGTTTTTATTTTGTTGTGCTTCCACTCACAGACAAAGAAATCTGTTCATGCAGCAAGCAACTAACTAACATGAGCCAGCTTTCATTACAGTCTCCATATATATATACACTATATATATATATATCTATATATATATATACAGATATATATATATCAATCTTGCTCACAGCAGTGGGTTATAGGATTCCAGCATATGGGTGTTAAAAAGTTCAAGAAACACCTGTAAAGAATGGCACAAAAGAGAGAGAGTTAAGAAAATAAAACTTGAATGCATTATAAGCAACTAATAAAATATAAAATACAGATACAACAAGTATTCGTGTATGAAGCTTGGAACAAAAAACTTATAGTATCACATAATTCTGAGCTGTGTATCACAACAGCAAGGCATTAAGTTGTGTTTATGAAGCCCTAAAGATTATAGTATATGACACATTTAGAGTAAAGGTTTGTTTGAGTGTTGGGAGTGTATTCAGAAAATGTAGTAAACACCGCTCCCAACCAGGCTTGCCTGAACACGAGACAAACAGAGAATGTACACGTTATCCTGGTTGACAAAAGCTAAGCTGCAGTTTACTTAATTGATGGCTTTTACATACATGGCCTGTTTGCCAATCCATAGGTTGTTTGCTTAACTCCCCAAACTTCCATTTTTTAAAGTAGAAACATAATGATGCTGTGGATGATAATGCATTCCAGTAAAAGATAAAAATATAATCTTAGTGTACATTTAATTTTCACTGAGAAAGTAACAACATGCAGGCAATCTGCTGCAAAACTGCAGTATTTGATCCAGTGGTTGTTTTATTTTAACAACACAGACTGTACAGTAAACCAGATCTCAACGTGGTATAAGAAGACTCCAGGAAAGCAGGAACAAAGAGGATCAATTTCCTGTAACTGTGATGAGGCTGTGATATTTCTTGTATGGCTGCTAGAGAGCAGACAGTACATCTGAGGCACAAGATGTTGACCCTTAAGTGTTTGGTTGGCAAGTGCGGCAGTGAGAAATCTTCTGAACAGGGTTGTTACACTTGAGTAAAGACAATAAACTCTTTTTTCGTAAAATGTATCATCTTAAAAAATGGGAGGATGACTCTGGTGAGAAGATGTCACATGATGATTAATCCACTTTAAAATACGTCACAATTGCACCTTTCTAGTTTAGATGACAGGTTGGATTAAACCAGAATCCAACCTGTCATCGGCGTGGCACGTATGGTGATTTGAATCTCTCTCAAGCCCAGACTGAAACTGTATAGCTTTTATGTTGCTTTTAACAAGATGTTTCACTCTATATAATTAAATCTAGCTCTCATTCTATACACAGCCGCTGGGTAAGTGATAGTTCATATTACGATTTAATACACTACTCAGGGCTCGATTAACAAATTACATTAAGTAGGGCAACCATTCCTGGACTACTATGAAAATGTCTGTGCTGAGAGAAGATCTTAACGCTTGGAACCGATAACCACAACAATTTTTTTGGGTCAATTTCAAGATTATTATCACTCTCAGACACTGTAAATGTCAGAAAACTCAATAATAACATTATATAAATTGCTACTTTCTCCTCATTGGGGTGAGCATGAAACAAGTTCTATTACTATTGTAAATCTGCTCTGAGACCCTTACAAGATTTCACAGGATTATGATGACAGGAAAAGACCAGTTGGATTTGTTGTTAGTTTGAGTGGAGAGAGTTGGGCAAGAGGATAAATACTGTATGGTGTTGCCCGGTAATATGTGGCCTTGTGTAGGTTGAGAACATTTATATGGCTGTTGAGTCCAATATGGAATAATAACGTAGGCCCCAGCTATGCGTGGGTGAAACTGCGTAAGGAGTCAGTTGTTCCACCCTACCACTGGCTGGAGTCATGTCTCAACAAGACAGCATTTATACAATGCAAAAGGGAAATTATTTGTCAGATCACACACAAACAGGGCTCCTACACTGTCATTAAATTTTATATGGGATGTTTCAAACTGGTATTTTTTGAGGTTACTGTGGGTTTTATTGTTTTTTAATTATTCTATATACATTTTTAATAAAACTAACAGATCTCTCCGTGTGCTCTCTTTTGTTCATACTGTAAATGTATAGCACACAGTTGGTTTAATTACCCTCCAAACGACCCCTCCTTTCTCTCTCCCACCCACTGTTGTTGACGGGCCGGTTACGTAACATTTATGCTTTGCGCACGTGTCCACAGCCATAATAGATAGGCAACATTTTTGACAGATTTAACATTATCACCGACCCAGTGGCCATAACGCTGACACGCAACCCACACTGTTTACCTCCGAGGCGCAGAATAATGGCGGTGTGTGGGCGAAATTCTGGTTAAAATACGCGATTGTTTTTCCCACCAAAATGACAAGAGTCGCAAAAAACGGGTCCCTCTCCATCTCCAAGCATTAAAATGAACCCACAATGAAAGCAGCAGACTCTGGGGAGGGGGGACAGGACAGCGTGGTTGCGCTTAACGAAAGAAAGGAAGGCACACTCAGTTACTGTACTGTACTGTGTGTTCT